TAATGTAAAAGATATTATATATTTCAAAAAGACATGTCAAAAATTCGTATTTGTATTTGCAGAGATTTGTACAATTAATTAAATTCGTAGAAACTTAACTACTGAGACTGATTAAAAATTTTATTTTTAATTTCCTTAATCAGATACTCATTAAAATTAAGTAGCAGCTCATATAAATCTGACCTTATTCCGGAATCTATTACTCTTTCAATAGCACTGATGATCAGATATATTAATAAAGATTAATTTATTTAAGATACTTTATGGAATATTAAGAAACAGAATAGAAACAATTTATTTATTGTAATTATTTTGTATTTATTTTTATAATAATAGTATTTATTGCAATTGCAATAACAAAAATACAAAATAAAACCATAATAAAATATTAATTATAAAATGAAAAGTCGTTCGTGTTTATTATATATTTTTGTACAAATTTTATTTAAAATAAAAACAATTTTCAATATCAGGAACATATTGTTAAATATAATTTATAATGTAAAAGATATTTTATATTTCAGAAAAACATGTCGAAAATTCGTATTTGTATTTGCAGAGATTTGTACAATTAATTAAATTCGTAGAAACTTAAGTATTGAGACTGATTAAAAATTTTATTTTTAATTTCCTTAACCAGATACTCATTAAAATTAAGCAGCAGCTCATACAAATCAGACCTTATTCCGGAATCTATTACTCTTTCAATAGCACTGATGATCAGAGCCTGATTCAATTGAACACCATCTTTCATCTTGTTGACAACATAGTCCATGAGCGTATCCAAAATATCAATGAAATTGTAATCATTCATCGAACTAATCCATCCTCCGAAAATCTTCAATTTACCTGTAGCCTCAAGTCCCAAATGAATCGCACTCCTAGCATTTGATGCATAACTCAATTGAACGTAGTTATCAAAAACATCAATACGGTGCTGTTCCAATATAATAGGATCACTTCCATTAACCATTATTATGTTGGATAACGCTTCCAAGAATTCTTTAAAAGATTGCAATGAGAAACTTAGGTGATCAATCAGGATTATTGGTTGGAAATTGTTTAAGACATCATACCCAAACTTGATTATCCTACAATCATCCAATCGAAATTGCTTCTCCTTAAACAACTTGACGGCTCTAAAATCATGAGCAATGCACTCATAATCCTCGAGGAAGTCGCAAAAATCTTGTGAGGGGTAAGACATTTCAACAAAGACTGAATATCAACCCTCGACATTTTCAGCTTTTATACCAAAAAAGCCCTGAAAATCAAAACAAATTAAAACCCAATTATATCACGTTGATTTATATTTAACTTTAATCTTTCGAGTCATTTGTTTTTTGTTGTTATTGACATTTGAACAAAGACTGAATATCAACCCTCTCCATTTTTAGTTTTTCAACATAAAAAAAAAGATTTATTGCACTGAAAATTAAAACCCAATTATATCATATTACTTTCTATTTACCTATACTCACATTTCTTTCAGGTCATTTGTTTGTTGTTATTATTGTAAAGCAATTTATATTTATAAATACGCGTTTTTGAAAAACACTAGCAACAAACTGCATTTGATTCAGGTTAGTACGTTTATTGTCGCTTTGTCGTTCGTGAGGTGCGCTTCGCTCTTCTATTGGAATATATTAAATCAAGACAGAAGATGAATAACGAAATATTTTTATTTGACGACATTCCGAACTGCGCAGGAGGCGAAGCACCTCTAATAACCAAATCGGAAGTACAGTAAGTGATAAATTATGCTTTAATAAAATATTCATTGTTGAAGCATAAACATATATAATATATATAAGCACATGTTCAGTACTTTTCATTATCAACATTCGACTTCCTCTAACTGCTATAGAACTGTATGTATATAATTTTCATAGAATTATCAGTGAATTGTGCCGAATACAATAATTTAACTTCACGTGTAGTAAATGAAAAAAAAAATATGCAATAGAATCAAGAGTATACAAAAAAATATAGCGAAGAATAAGTTTTGGTTTCGGTTGCAGCCGTCGCGTGGCGCGCTATATTTTGTTCATTTTATATTTGAAATAGTTAATGTTCATTACATGGTGTTAAGTATCGTTTTTAACGCTTCCATTTTGCAGACCTAGGATCATCTTCTACGAGAACCCTAGTGTGAATAGTAATAGTAGTTCCGAAGAAGAACAAGCACCACCGCCATCACCAGCGGGGGCTCAAGGTAGCTCCACGGAATCCATGCCGAATTCGACTCCTACTGTAACTGTTGATGCTACCGGCAGTTCCGACTCTAGACCTTGTTCCAACGCGACAACAGCTGAAGCCCATGACGGTGAACTGACTATTGGACCTATACACACTATTCCTTTCAGATGCTTTCAAAAAGCTTGCGTTGTGAAGATCGTCTGCGCCTCTATTTTAATTATATTGGTTGGCATCGCGGTCAGCGTCTGGGCTGTTCTAAGATGAACTAAGATGAACTAATATCATACGACATAGGCGACATGTTATTTATTTTAACAAATGATGACCGTCCGATGACAAAAGCCCCCCGTGCGTATTCAGGGGCTTCAGGTACACAACATAGTCCACTTAAAATGTCATTATGTAATAATCAGCGTGAAACGACCAACATTTTTAAGTAGTATTATTGAATAATGATTATTATTCAATAATAACTACAGCGTTCAACGAATATGATCCATCAAAATATTTATATACACATTTTAAATCGTACCAATATTTTAAATTTATTAAAAAAAATATTTTTTATGAATTTATTGTCATATCATATACATAATACTTACATCTATTTTAAATTGTCTATTGTTCTAATTTTTATAATTTATTAAATTAAATACATACACGCCTACCCCATTATTTTTATTTTTTTCAAATACTACAAAAGTTCTATAATATGTAAAAAATTCAAAAAATAGCAGATACTTAACTTAAAAATAAAACTTTGTTGATCAATTTATCAATTTACGAAGAAAAAACACTAGAGGCTTGAACTGGTTGTTAAGAGACCTCTCAGCATCCGGATTGGAGAAGGATCTGTTGAAGTGTCCAATCCACATCATCCAATTGGATCGTCGTAAAAAGTGGGCGACGGGCTGTCTGGCGATCGATCTGTATATTTTCTGTTTTATCAAGTGGAGTAAACCAGATTATATTTGCATATCAACCGTTTTAAAGGTCAATGTTCGACCTTAGAGTGAAAACAAAACACCGGTAGAAGTTAGCACTTTTACTCCTCGCATCATCACTCTCTCCGCTTTAATCTCAGCCGCAGCAATTTCATTTATGCAAATTCCTTCACCCTATAACACGTTGCAACTATCTCGAATGTCACAACTTGCTTATTATTTTTAATAAAACTAAAAAATCATTTTATTTATTGTTTTATTAATATAATTATTATAAAATTTTATAAAAAAATTTCTTTAAATTAATTAACATATAAAAATTATTGATTCAGATGTTTATAAAATATTGTTTCTTAAAAAGATCTATAAATCAAATTGCCTATGGCAAACAAAGTAAATGTAATCATGGATATTATATACAAATGGACGAAGCAGCTCTTCCTAGAATTTGCTGGAGGCGCTGGGGTATCAGTTGTTTCGATAAAAGGGGAATCGGTGGCATATTTAGGTAAGCAGGAATCGCGTTCCGATTGATTCTCGGAATCGCTTTCTTCTATATTGACACTCATTGATTCATTGTCAGTAATACTGTCATCGGAATTAAGAAAAAAACCACAATCGTCAGGTTTGGCTTTTAAAATAAACCCTACTACAACGGGCAAATCCCTTGAAAAAAAGTATATTTAGGAGAGAAATAATATTGAAAATTTGACTTACCTCTTTGATGATTTGTTGTTTGGGATAGTGGGAACGCAATCACTAACTTCAGACATGGCTGTTTAATAATATAATCAAGTAGTAATCGAGGTAATTTAAAGAAGGCACTTGTAATAATGATCTAAATTTCATCGATATTCACTAGGTAGGGTAAATTCATAAACAAATTGTTTTCGAAAACCAATCAGAAATCGGTATAACAAGTCAGGTTACTTCAAAGTGGAAGGTGTAAAATTTCCCATGTTCGATTGTTACTAAACTTTGTTTAAACAATTGATATGGTTTTATTGTAATGTAATATCTGGTAATGAGTACAACTTTAAAAATGCAATTTAAACTATTGTTTGATTTTACCTCTTTTTGCATGATTAATTATGTATAAATGTATTGTTTAAATACAATCAGACGGTAGCAATGAATGTAACATTATGTAGAACTAAAATTGGTAGTCATTTCAATATGTCACTATTGTTTCATTTTTTATATCATACAAATATAAATGCTAGATCAAGTTGTTTCTTTAAATCACTGTAAAGATATATATCATGCTTGAAGTACAATTTGTTGTATGTACAATATGATTATGTTACATAATATATAATCGTGGACATTTAAACCAATTATCTGTTTGCACATTTTAGATAAATGATCGAATTAAACTAATTCAAACATTAAACTGTTTGTCTAAAAGTGTAATTGTTAGAGATTTTAAATCCTTCAGGCTTAAATTAATGGGAAGTTGTATAAAAACGTTTATGTGCTATTGAGCTTGCATTATCAATAGCTAGAAGGAATTTTATCTGTAATCGACACTGCGTCATAGACAATGATATAAAAGTTGTATAATTTGTAATAAAAGAAATGTATTGTGAATTAAATTAAATGTTATCCGAGACAAAGATCCTACATTAGTAATGGATTTAACAAATATTGTATAATGGCACTCAGATAATGCTAAAAGACTACTTAAACAAATACTTATAGTCCATTACTAGTTTGCGCAAGTTATACTTAGCTTATCTTATCTAGTTTCCGTGAGCAAATAACTAACATTGTAAGATTTCTTAAGGCGAATGCATTGTACATAACTGACCCTGGATGATTGCAATCAAGTATAAAAGATAATCTAATTACAAACGCGATTTTAATTAGGAGATCGGCTTTCCAATAAGAAACAGTTATGCAACCCAGGATGTTATATTAGTGGGTGTTTTCCTCGGATAGATGGCGGTTCTGTTAATTGCTAGAGCTGTTGACGTTAATGTGTTTATTTGAGTGGGGTTTGCGTGCGAGTTGGTTCGTAGTTGCGCATAGTTTCCTAAAAGGTTCTGATATGAGAGGTGGTGCATCGAAAAACTGTATCTGAAGGAACAAGTAAATAGTTCAAATACGACAGCAGGCAGGTTCGGTGATCGTGATTAATGGCCAGGTGGTGGATTATCCGTGTCGGTAATAAATGTACGATGATGAGCCATATGCACCAATCGGGAGTTCGTCATGTGTAGATAACAAAAGTACCTTATCGTGTGCTGCGGGGGATACGGCCTCAACGCCGAAGGAATGCTCGACGGTGTAAGGATTTTCCAATACTAATCTAACATAGGTGTTCTTCGTTTCTACAGCTGTTTTGAGCGATTTTACATAACTTAGCCTGAGTGTGTGTGTTCGTGCTGGCTATGCGTCTCCGTGTCGCACACTCGCAAAGTGAGAGCTTGTAGTTTTTTTTACTTGTATATATATTGTTATTGTTGTTTGACCATTATCTTAATTAATTAAAAGGCTTTGGTATCCAGTAATCGGATCTGTTATCATAAGATACCTAAGGCTAAGCTTCGCGCAGCTCGATAACGATAGGATTGTCCGCGAAAAGTCATAGATGTACAATGGGATAGAGCAGTGATTTTTCGGATTGGCACCAATTTGCGCAAACACTCGAAATAATATATATTTTCGTGTCGTGAGTAATTCATTCAGGTTTTCCTTGGGCGACTCTTGACAATGAATAAAGAGTTACTTATCGCCTAGAACAATATGCATGATCGAGAGTATATAAAGTGAATGCTAATGCATTGCATTAATTAGTTGACACTGTTACCTAGAAATTGTCGCAGCTAGAAAACTACTTAACGGAAAGTAAGTTAATCATTCGCTCATTCATTCATTATTTCCGGTCAAACAAATACAACCAAAAAAAAAACAAACTATAAATAAATAAAGCAGTATAGCCATAAACGAATTTAGAGTCGGGCAGAAACTTTCACGAAATTCCTCATTGCGGTACTGCCGTCCGTTATTTATCTGCATACACTTAGGTACGTGCGTAATACCTCTTTTCAAGCCATTCTTCTGACTGATACAATGCATTATCATTTCTTCGAGCATATGCCAGATGACTCTGCTTCGTTCCTACAAGGGAATCCCTGGTATTCGGTACTTTCTGGGTCACGAGAAAGTCAAAAACTTTTGTCAGAAAGACGATTTTCGTCGACAATCAATGCTGCTGCAGCGAAAATAATAACATTCAATTATTGCCGCTCGATTATTCGCAAACGCAATACTAAACGATTGGTCGTGACGAATTGGAATATATGGAAAATGCGCGTCTCTTGCAAGAAATGTCCTCAATAAAACATGTATACATCAACCTTGAAAATAAGGCGAAATAGATGAGAACGTAAGAAAGAAGCTCGGTGCGCCTCTATTTCTGGACGGTCCGTGTGGTGGTACCCAAAAAACCTCAGAGTTTCTTAAAAGAGATTTAAAGAGGACCGGACAAAGGCGAATATCGATCGAACTCCGGCATATAAAAAAAAATAGTCGGATGTGAATAGAAAGTTATCTTCATCATTAAAATCACTTTCGTTTGATGGTCAGCACCAGTTTCACAAAAAAAAAACTTGTATTCTTTTACTTTAAGGAATCAGAATAACTTGATAATACCGACTCGTCGATCGTGAATTATGGACGCCATGGAGGTGTCGCCGCGAGACTCACTGAAGCTCTACTTCAGCGAAGTCAAGGATTCGAATGAAGCTAATTTGGATTACGATGAGGAGCACGTTTTGCTGGATGGTTAGAATGCTCCGGGACGTTAAGTTTTATCGTATTTCTTTGTATCTCTGGTTATTTTTAGAAGTGGAACTGGCGGCAGATTTTCTACAGAAAGCAGGACTCTCCGATCTGCCCAAGCTCTACCACCAGGGCAAAGAGATCTCCGATTCCATCGTAAACGATTCCATTCGCCAAATTCATTTGACTGAGAAACAGGCACAGACTGTAAGGTCGAGGGTTAGGACCCTGAATAAAACGCTCAGGAATCACAGACAGCCCAGACGAAAACAGCGGCAAGATATTAGAGACGTAACCTGGAATTTGGAAGTAAGAAAGTGTTTTGCTTTGCTTCTGAAGCTTTTCCTAATATTTTCGAAATACACTTTGATTTCCAATTGATTAACGGTTCGTTTTCTGCTTCTAGACATCGAGCACCGGGTCTCGTTCGAGAAGCGCGACTCCTGATTCTTTGGACTTCACTCCTGTCATTAACGAAGATCTTACTACTTCAGACGAGGATCAACAACTCTCTCTGCCATCATTGTAACAATATTCACATCATGCAAATTATATTAAGTATACTTGATTTGTTTTTCAGCCCTTTAGATTCGACTGGAAATTTACCCAAAGGTAAACTAAAATGGACATCGAGCGAACCAATACCCAGCAAGGTTTTGAGTCGACAGGACCGTGGGGATGTAGCTCACTTAGGTTCTGATAACGTTGTACTTAAAGGATACCATCCTCTCAATGAATACCCGACTCTTAAAAGGGAACGCAGCGGCAGCGATCCTTCAACCGACGTCCACCTGAAAGCAATCAGCACTCAACCATTTATGTAAGAGATTTAAACCTATTCCCTTATAGGTTATTTTAACACCTTAATTTCTATACCTTCAGTTCTTCGGATTTTCATGGCATCTTCGGAAACGCCAGTAATTTAGATGGTACAAGTAGTATGGAAAATGATATTTTGAGTTTTGAAGGTTTGGCTCGTCGCAACGAAGCGCCCGTAGTAATGAACATCACAAACTTGCTTAACTAATTAACTATATAAACGAAATGAATTTTTCAGAATTGCACTCTTCAACTCGAAAACCTTGTAAACATCGATAGTTTGACGGACGGGGAATATCAGTATTTGAAACCGCTTCTGTGGGTTGAAGTGACTGCAATTTTCGATCAGCATAAAATTGCCGTGGTTAAGAGGAAAGCTAGCAGTAAACACAAACGTATAGAATTTTCCTGTCTCGTCTCGTTTCGTTTAATCCGCATCTCGTTTTAGGCGGAAATGTATTTGGTGTGAACCTTTCAACTTTGGTGATGCGCGACATGCCTATACCGACTGATAATTCCATGGTGCCTCAAGTATACCAAAGTGTGATTAGGCAACTGAACGATAGGATCAAAGAGGACGGAATTTTGAGGATAGCTGGACAGAAGCACAAATTAGAAGTGCTTTGCCACGAGGTAGAAATGAAGTTTTACAACAATCGTCGGCATGTAGAGACGGTCTTAACAGAGGCTTCAGTACACGATTTGACAGGCGTTCTGAAAAAGCTATTACGCGAATTACCAGATCCAGTATTCACTATGGAACTATTCGATATGTTCTATAAATGTCACTGTAAGAGATAAAATTAAAACGAAATATTTTGTTATTTCATTCAATTACTTTGCTTTCAGCCATTCCAGATTTAATGGATAAAATTAGGGCTTTAAATATTTTGGTGCTGATGCTTCCCGTCGAGCACAGGAACACTTTTAGGATACTACTGCAGTTCTTCGTGAACGTCATCAAAAATGAAAAATATAATCGGATGAACTTACATAACGTCGCGATGATATCGGCTCCATCTTTCTTTCCACTTAGATTTTTAACTCCTAAGTATTATTCAGAAAAAAGCTAATGCTATTGAGGACTTTTATTTATTATTGGTTGCTACATTTTAGGGGAAACAGAGACGATAAGCAACCATTGAGCAGGGACCAAATATTAAAAGAGGTTAGCGATGCTGCCGTTTGCTGCGGGATTATGGAACTGATTCTGCACACGGGTGATGCGTTGTGGATGATACCGGCGGAGCTCGCGAACCAAGCGCAAGAGTCGCAGAAAAGGGCCCAAGACCGCAAAGAATCGGGCAAAGAGAAAAAGGCTGTACGTGTGAAGTATTCTTGCCCTTCGTGGTGTTGTGTAATGCTGGGGTAACTCGCTTTTACTGGTTTTTGGGCACTTACAAAAATAGACACAAGTAATAATGGGTGGATGAACGCTATCCACCCACACCTTTCTACTATAATTAATAGTTCCCTCCCAGATATTAGTCAGCTTTGGTGATTAGGGTTTCTGCTTTCGCCTGGTGAAGTTTATGTTTTTGACTTATTCCTGTTTCTGTTTTTTTTATTTATAGCGTTCTAAGAAGAAATTGCAAAGGAGTAGTACACAGTATGAACCAGGTGCCATGTTAAATCCTAGACTTAAGCGAGAATTTTTATACGATTGAGCTGGAAACTACTTCTCATTCCTCTTTAGTGCCTTTATACAAGTAAAAGTAATTATCCCCTCAATCCCCACCAACATTATGTGATTTATTGTTTTACTACTTCGTTTAAATATTTTTTATTATATTTGTAATTGTGTGCCAATAATGAATCCGTAAATTTAAATATTTATATAAATATGTATATATAGTTAATAAACATTTTTTAACTTATAAATAGAAACATTTATTTAAACTGACTATTTTACAATTCATATCCAAATGATTGGATCCATTTCAACCCTGATACAAGGTCTCCAGCAGGTTTGTACTCTAAGCCTATCCAGTCATTATATCCGGCCTTCCTGAGAACGTCCAGAACATAAGGGTAATTTATTTCTCCTGGACTATCTGGCTCATGACGGTCCGGGCTCTGAGCAATTTGAACGTGTCCCGTATATGGTACCAACTTTTCGATAGTCATGGTTAGATTACCACAAATTTTCTGCATATGAAACAAGTCCAACATGATCTTTAAGTTAGGACTGTCAATACATTTAACAACATCAGTAGCTAAAATACACAAATGTTATTGAAGCCAGTGAAATTGAATGAAATTACCTTTCTCATAAGAGTTTAAGTAATAATCAGGAACTGTGTGGTTATTAATGGGTTCAATAACACCCATAATGTTATTAGCCTCTAACATTTTAGCTGCCATCCTTAGGTTCTCTATGTAGCAGACATCATTTTTAGGTGTTGGTTTTGCCACATTTCCAGCCATGATGTGAATTCTAAAGAAACATAATATTTACAAAAAAAAACTATGTTACAATTAGTGCATCATTTACTTTTTCACTTTAAGGGCTTTAGCATATGTTATTGTTTTTTCCATGCTCTTTCTAAATTCCGGTGTTTTACCTGGAATTGCAGCAAATCCCATCTCTCCTTTTGTCACATCACCTGAATATTAGCAATGTACTAAAGAATTATATGTAAAAATGCCAACTCACCTGTATACGTGTTTATCAACACCTGTTCAATGTCAGCATTACTTTTAGCTAACAACATTAAATCCAGACTGTAGTTAAAAGGAAATCCTGACTCCACAGCTTTAAAACCTGCATTCTTTGCAGCCACATATCTATCCACTAAAGGCATATTATTGAACATGAAAGAGATGTTTGCGCAAAACTTGGCCATTATTAATGTTCGACAGTCGCAACTAACTGGTTATATTTTTTCCTAACATAAATTGTTGTGTAAACACCGCTCGCGGCAGATAACATTCACTCAGGATTATCGCCTTCGACCAATTACGCAATAATTAAGTAATTACTTGACTTGTGATGAACTTCTACTCGGACTATCAACGATACACGATGAATGCCAAAACTATAATGCGCCAATAGATCGTGACACTAGCGAAATTTTTTGTTTAACGGTTTTTAGTAGCCGATTTTTTTGAATTTTCAAATGTTTTCGGTGTTTCCTTCAGTTGATTACGTGTTCCAATATGTTCGCTGTTCGCTAGTATTCAAAGTTGCCGCCAATTTCGCTGGGCGTTCCTCCCTCAAATGAGTCACCAACTGATATATTTCAATTTTTTACCACCCAAACAAAACAACATGGTCTAAATTACAAACAACAACAACTTTTTATTTATTTACTTTGTGTTCTCGTGCAAAAATGTTCTTCACGCTAATACTACTGTCCTGCACATTATCTACTCTGGCCCAAAATTATGATGAACCACAATTTATTGGATGCTACACACATTTTACAAGAGCCAAATTCAATTTTGTAGATGGTAAAAGAAGCACACAGCAGTGTGTTTCGGAATGCCAAAACAAATATTACAGGTAAATAAAACAGTAGTCTTGCATCTTCTATCGAGCACCACTAACATATCTCTTTTAGGTATGCAAATATTCAGGTGGACAACAATTGTACATGTGGTAATTACCTAGGGGACTTTAAAGACACCAACAATTGTAAAGTCTTCTGCTCTGGATGTGATCAGCAAAATGATCTTGTTGATGTATACAGTACAAGAATCTTAGGTTAACTTTTTTTCTTCATGATTTATATACACATTTTAATTCTTTTTATGTCTACAGGCAATGGGCCACCTATTAATTTAATAATTGAAAATGTCACTGACACTCAAGCACATCTTGCATGGGATGAGCCTGAATCCTATATCACTATTGATATGTACAAAATTGTGGCCCGGGCCATCTTTACCTATTCACATATCAAGTTAGGTGATTTAATTTGGACTCAACCAAATTCCACAAGAATTGAGTTAATTAACTTAAATCCAGGTACTAAATACAATGTCAGTATACAAGCAGTGTCAAAGGAGAATGATGGTGCACCAGTACATGCAACTTTTGAAACTGATATTGGAGGTTTGGTTGTTACCTAACAGTTTTATACCTTTATATATAATATTAATTTTAGAACCTGATCACGTGCCGTTTGAACCGAAAATTGTTGAGAGAATTGAAAAGGGCATGAAAATTCAGTTGAAACCAGTTGAGAACAGCAATGGGCCAATCACTTCATATTTAATAATTGTGATCAATTCTGGTTTATGGCAAACTGTTCAGGTGGATAATCTTAAGGGATACTATCAGGCTAAAGCAGAAGGATTTTCTTATTATGTAGCAGCTGAAATTCAACCTACAGTATGCACTATCATCAATCTTATCCCATCAATCATTCTAATGTATTATGTTTCAGAATATAAACGAATTATTTACTATCGGTGATGGTAGAAATTATGGTAAATACTATAATGCTCCTTTGGATAAAGATTCGGTATATAAAGTTATGTTAGGAGCTGTAAGTAAAAGTAAAGGTATTGAAAAAAGGATATTCAGCGAGTCAAATATTGGAAGCGACGTGACTATATTAGAAATGGAAAATGAGGGTCAATCTGAGTCTCCAATAATCATAACATTCTTGTGGATAGCCATCATCTTAATTACTTTGCTATTGATCGCTGGATTGGGATTAATATTTTTGTTGAGGAAAAGACTGCATCGTCGAAACAGACAAAGATTAAATGATAACCAAGAGTTAACTTTGCAAGGCCCAATAATCGATTTAGTAAGTGGATAGAATGAAATTTTGTTTTATTGATAATACCGGTAATCTTCGTTTAGGAAAACAACGGATATATCCACGACGAAGAAGGAGAGAGCACGAGTCATTACAAGAAGCTGAAAGAAAAGATCTGGTTGATCCCGAGGAATCTGTTAAATATAGATCTGAACAATTTATTAGGTATTGGTAGTTTCGGTAAAGTATTCGAGGGAAATGTCATGAGAGACTCCAACTGGTCTCCGGCTTCCGTTTATTGCATAGAAGATAGAAGCCTGGAGAAGGAAGACAAGAGAGTTATGTTGAAAGATCTAGATTTGTTGATTAAAGCTAGGAAACATCAAAACGTTTTGGAACTTATCGGTACTTGCGAAACACCGGAAAACGTTTTCGTGGTCTTGGAGCATTCTTCTGTCAATCTTAAAGAACTTCTATTGAATTCTCGTATTCTAATCAATAATAGGTTTACGAATCTCTCCGAATCTCAGTGTATCGATTTCGGAATCGATATTGCTAAAGGCATGGAATTCTTACACGAAAGGAAGATCGTACATAAGAAGTTATGTTCCATCCACGTTGTTGTAATTAATGGGAACTGCGCCAAGATCAGCGGCTTTGGTCTTGCCAAGTATTACAAGACCGATCAAACTCCTGACTTCAGTAGATTCACAGCGATGGAAGTTTTCAGAGGACAACAGCATGTGAGCAAGAGCGACGTTTGGGCTTTTGCTTGCATATTATGGGAAATAAGTGCCTTAGGTATAACCCATAATCCAGATTATAAATGATAAATCTATAAACAATGAATTACTTACTGTTGCAGGTGGAACGCCGTACGGGAACATATCACGTAACGAATTACCAGAAAAAGTCATTAGGGGACTACGCTTGTCCCAATTACCATATCTCGAGGATAGCTTATACCAAATTATGCTTAACTGTTGGCAACTAGATTTAGATGAACGTCCAACCTTCGCAGAACTAATAGAGACGTTGTTGCAACTCAAGAGTGAATCGTTCTTAAACTTTGCGATGTTTGAGGGCTTCCAATACGAGCCATACTATTTAGAATTAGACATGCTGCGGGGATCCAATTATTAGAGGTGGGTTTATGTACGCTGAACACAAAAAGAAAACAATTTGCCCACGTTGCATATCAACTGGTAACGAGTGTTAAGAGCAATACATTTATTTTTTTAGTCAAGTTTAGCAAAAAAACGCATTGTGTATATACTTAATTTTTTTATTAACTCTCGACTGATTTTTCTTGCGAGCAGCTCTCAGCAAATGTAAAAAATATACTGCTTTTATTCATCGTGGACAGCACATATAAAATACGCATTTAAAGAAAAACCACACAACGAATGAACTCGAAAATATAACTTACACTTGTGTATTAAAAAGTGGAACGATAAAATGGAAGAGAAAGACTAATATTAAAAGTATAGTTTCGTTCCGTTCTCTTAATCATATTTTATACTTTTTGTAACAAATTCTACATAAAATATTGAACATTTTGCACAATTTTTCAATGTTACAACTTAATTTTTTTTTGATATTTCGAAATGTTTATGAATTCAAACTGCCACTTGTTATTAATCAAAATACTCGAACAAAGATTACATTATAGAATTCCTTTTAAGCATTTATCAAGGGGAACCACAAAAAAAAAACGGTTGTATTGGCACAATATTACATAATACTCTTATTGCTTATCAATTCTATCGATAATCCTGGCATATATCGTATCTAAACATTTATCATATTTTAGAAATATTTATAAAGAAAAAAGAATCTCTTTAGTCAATAATTATTGTGTGTATTCATTTGGTAAAACCAGACTTTCATATCAATGATATGATGTTATTGAATTTAGTCATTCAAATTAATTCGTCATGATTACCTGTACCAAAATAATAATTAGATTTATTTTTTTACAATTATAAAGATGATTTATATTACAAAGATGTAAACTGTTGAGAAATTTTGAAAACATTTTGTTGTGAATAAGAAGACGATATTTCATTTTTCCTAGAAAAGTTAAATACAAGCAATATTTCATATAAAAGTTTGTTATAAACATACATACTTTATTAATAATAATAACAATTATTCCAACAAACATAATATAAAACTACATTGAATTGGTGCAAAGATCTATTTACCATAGGTCTTTCTGCCTCGGGTAGCAAACAAATAATCTCCCTGCAATCGAATAATCTATAAAATAGAGTATTTTCAACAAGATAGTAAACAACTTATGGTATTACTCATAATTAAATCAGTCATTCTAAATAATAAATTAAATAGTTCTCAACTTAACATGTAGCAATTTGAATACAATTTACATTTTTTTTAATGAAGATTTGTTAAGAGATAGATGATTCAAAACAAGGATATTTATACAATTAATAAAATATACTCAATTTACTATACTCGTGGGAAACACCATGAAGAAATGCATTTATATACAGTAAATAACCTCAACGAAAAGCGTACGTGATTCACTAAGACGACCTTGCTGATTTTTTTTTCTTTGTCCGAGTATTCTATACAGCTGCTATTAATTAGTGCGAATATCAATAACCATATGTGTATTTGTTTGTTTTATATATATATAATTTTGTTTTTATTTATTGTGTTTTGTATCTATTACGTATTAGCAACTAGTGATATGTATTTTTTCGTCCGTCTGATAATTTCTAAACTTTATATTAAATGACTGCTCTTTTTAATTGGGCAAAATTTGACGTACTTAAGCATTATCTGTGTACCATTTAATTATTTTAAGTATTATTTTATTTTGTATTTGTTTGACGATTATATAAATGTTTCTCCATTATTATTTTTTTTTAATTTATAAATGTTTTATCGAAATTGCCTGTTATTTCCCCGATAATCCTATCTAATCGAGAGATATAATTAATAGAATTTCGAGTTCTTGGTAAATACAATTATAATCGTCGTCCGCCTGTTGATCCCGATGATCGACAATCCTTTGGCGAACTGCTTATCACCAGTTGCTGGAAAATCATTAACCAAAGAACAACAAGCAACAGTATCAAAGATGCAGATGATCAACATTCTTTTCGGAAACCGCTTATCACTGGAAATACGTTAATAAATTGACAACAACAACAATGCGAAGTATAAGAGTTGCAAGAAGATGCGATTAATCCAAAAAATAAAAGAATGGTCCTTATCATTCCGTGAATTTATGTGCAAACAAGAAATTCCAAGTAGTCGAAAGAGCTGCGTATAGCATAGCATATTATCGCGTACACAAATGTAACCTTGCCGGCTTTGGGTCACTGCATTAATAACAATTTCTTATGTACATATAAATTTGATGCTAGACTCCTATGTAGATTAGTATGCTGCGAGCCAGTCGATCGAATTTATTGGAGCAGCCACTTGAGATTACTAGAACACAAGTAATTATAGTTCTGATTCATCGCCAAGAGAATTAGTAAGTACACCTGTCAATACGATGCTTAGCATCTTACAATATCGATAAGGATGGATCCACTTATCGAGATTCCTAAAAATCCGCGATCTATTATTAGCTAGAATATTTTCTTCAAATGAAAAATACAACATATACTTGTTAAGTTAAATGATTTAATAACGTTTAATCCTTATTGGAAAATTGCAGGATAAACCAACAATCATAATTAAAATCCATCTACATTTGTTGATCTGTTTTATAAACGCGAGCAACTTAACAGCGGTTCATTCAAAAACCTCGAAATCAACACGCGAGCATCTTAACAGCGGTTCCTCCAAAAACCTCGAAATCAACATATAAAAAGCTTTCTCTTCGGGTTTTGTAATTCTTTTGTTATATAATTCGCAGTACAGTTTCAAACTACGCGGGGCAAGGTTTTGCGACGCAGAAGCAATTAGCTGGTTTCAAATACGAATTTCTGGAAAACGGTAAATTGGTGAATGAATGGATTTTTATTTTATTTGGGAACCGGTTATGGGAGTACCTCCGCATGATGAGTAACGCGCTCGGACAATTAGCATTCATTACCCACATATGCGAATGTTTCGTAACACCTGTATATTGTTATTAAAAATTGTATTCCCTCATTTAGGAGAGGATGTTATCAAACCGCGATAGCTGGATTTATCGAAGCAAATGGAGGCTTTATTTGTCGCTGCTATTTGCTGTTTTGTGCAGTACGCTTAGCGAATTCGAAGCGGCAACAGCAGGTAGGAGAACTACCCAGCCGATCATCCCGAAAAGCCCAGCCACTAAGGATAAGAGAGTAATGGAGCCGGCATTTGCGAACGCTGGCCAAGTTCCCGGCTTGGAAATTTGGCGTATCGAAGTAAGATTGATTAATTTATTAAAATTGCTTTACAACGAGCGTGTAAATGCAATAAAAAAGAACACTATTTGTAAACAACCTTGGAACAACAGAGTTCCTTCAAAATTGTTTCGCAAGTAGCATAGCTTGTCAATACAATCTAATCTAAATTACGCATTTTTTATATTACAGAATTTCAAACCCGTTGCTTACCCAAAAGATCAATATGGAAAGTTCTACACAGGCGATTCCTATGTTATCTTGTTTGTACGTACTTCAAAATCGGATCGATGTTCACGCCTCATTTTAATTAATTAATTAATTATTCTGTTTTCCCCAGACTAAGGACAGCAATGGAATTAAAAGCTGGGATATCCACTTTTGGCTGGGCAAGGAAACGTCTCAAGTAATTAAAGTCATTTCAAATTGTTTGATTTTTTTTTCTTATTGGATGTTATTTTTAGGATGAATCTGGAACTGCCGCTATTATGACTGTACATCTGGATGATCAACTTGGCGGAGGCCCGGTTCAATACCGTGAAGTGCAAGAGCACGAATCCCAAACTTTCCTCTCCCATTTCAAAAATGGTGTGAGATATTTACCTGGTGGCATTGCTACAGGATTTTCTCATGTGGATCGTAATAAGCACGATAAGAAGCTGTACCACATTAAGGGCAAGAGGAACATCAGGGTTAAGGAAGTTAAGCTTAGCATTGCTTCCATGAATAAGGGCGATTGCTTCATTTTGGATGTTGGTTCTGATGTTTACGTTTATGTTGGGCCTAAATCCAAGAGGGCCGAGCGTCTTAAGGCTATAAGCGCCGCTAACCAAGTCAGGGATCAAGATCACGGTGGAAGGTCCAAGATTCATATCATTGATGAATACAGCACTTCCAGCGAGTATGATGAGTACTTCAGTAAATTAGGAGAAGGTTCGCAAAGTGAGGTTCCTGACGAGAGCGCAGGCGGAGATGATGAACAATTCGAGAAGCAACAGGAGCACGTTGTTACCTTGTACAAGGTGTCTGACGCTTCAGGAACTTTGGAAACAACTGAGATCGGACAGAAGCCACTTCTGCAAAGCATGCTTGATACCAACGATTGCTTCATTCTTACTACAGAGTCTGCAAACATTTACGTTTGGGTAGGAAAGAAATGCAATTCTAGAGAGAGGAGCCAATCTATGAACACAGCTCAGACCTTCATGAAGACCAAGAATTATCCTGACTGGACTCAGATTCAGCGAATCGTCGAGAATGCTGAACCATCAACATTCCAGCAATACTTTAAAACCTGGAAAACCAGCAGCGAACTGCACACACGGCTTATTCGCTCAACTGATGTAACTGATAAAGCAAAAATTGAGCAGAAAAGCGGCGGAGCAGCTCCCGATTTTATGCCTGATGATGGATCAGGTGAACTCGAAATCTTCAGAATTGAAGATTTCGAACTCGCCCCCGTAGATAAAGAAACCTACGGCAAATTCTTCGGAGGAGATTCGTACGTTATCAAATATACATACAATTCAAACAACTACATCATTTACATGTGGCAAGGAAACGAAAGCACCAACGACGAGAAAGCTGCTTCAGCTTTCCAAGCTGTGAAGTTGGATAATGAATTGCACGGTAAAGCCGTACAAATTCGTGTCGTACAAGGTCACGAGCCGAAGCATTTCCTTCATATTTTCAAAGGTAATTATAAAAAAAAATCAGTTTCCTTGAATTAACTATTTTGTTGTTATAGGAAAACTTGTTACTTTCTTGGGTGGAAAAGCCAGTGGCTTCAAGAATTTGAATGACCACGATACATACGTTGAAGGAGAAACCAGGATGTTCCGCATTCGTGGAACCAACGAAGATGATGTTAGGGGTTCTCAGCAAGTAGCTTCAGCTAAATCTCTAGCTTCAGATGATGTTTTCATCGTGGACAACGATAGCAACACTTGGATTTGGATGGGCAAAGATTCCAACGAACACGAGAAAAGTTTGGCTGAGAACTTTGCGACTTTCTTAGTACCAAATTCCAGTCCAGAAGTAATCAATGAAGGCGACGAACCTGATACATTTTGGGATGCGTTGAATGGCAAGGATAGCTATGCCGAAAGCTTCGAATCCGAGCAACAACCAGCTCTTCAACCGAACTTATACCATTGCATTTTGACACCATCGAACAATATCAAGATTGAAACTATTAAAGATTACGAACAAGACGATTTGGTTGAAGATGACGTTATGATTCTAGATGCAGGAAATGAGGTTTACGTTTGGATTGGCAGTGGAGCTGATGAAGATGAGAAGAAACATAGCGTGATTTTAGCTCAAAACTATTTGAGAGGCCACGGTCGTAGTCACGTCATTGTGCTCGTCGTGAAACAAGGTTCTGAGCCCAGTGTCTTCACTTCTCTGTTCCCATCTTGGGATGAAGGGATGTGGGATAATCAAGTATCTTACGAGTCGATCAAATCAAAATTTGAAAACTAATTATTAATAAGTTAAGGTTTTTATTAAAATTTATATTCAAAATGATGACAGTACAGTAATGTGGTGCTTTCTTAGAATAAAGTCCGATTTTTTTTTTATAAATATTAGCATTACAGACATTCTAGTAGAGTTAAACATTTTCCATTCCTAATGATTAGTGATGAATAAAGAATATAAAATAAACGTAAGTATGCCGGAGGTAAAACAAAAACGAGAACGAAAAATAAACTAATAATCTTTGGAATAGGTTTGTACATTTCAATTATTAATATTATTCCTTTTGTTCAGTTCATAACATGTATCCAACATTAATAATAATAATAAATAAACTCTCCAAAACTATTACATCCCAGTAAACAATAAATAAATATTACATAACTAACAGAAACAATTCATCTAGAAAAAGGTTAAAGCAAAAACATTTCTAAGCTAGTTTATATATCCGTCCATAAAAAAAATTGTCGTAAATTTAAACCTATTGATTTATTAATTAAAGAATTATTTTTTTTCAAGTTCATTTTTCAATATTTATTTTTTTGTTGGAAGATTAAATTTAAACCTTTGGTACTTGAGAATATAAGAGCGTAAGCACAACTGAAGCGAACACTATAGTAAGTGCGTATCTTTTTTGATTCGTTCCTCCATTTCCGGTTTACCAGAAGCCGGAAGACTTGCCTCCAGGCGGGTTCTTGACCTTAATGCATGACTTTCTCTCGACGTCGAGTTCCTCTACAATAACAGAAAAAAAGCGTGCATGACGTAATTTGTATTTTTGTGTGAAAATATGTGTTTTATTACCGCTAATGGAGAAGGTCGAATCTTGAATATTGCGTTGACCTTCAGGTCTTGGTCCTCTGCAAGACGGAGTACTTATCGCTGAATCCGGCAGAGTTGGTGTTATGCACAACTTTGGCTCAAGTTCAATCTAATCAAGTTCATTTCAGTTTAATCATAGTTCTAATAAATGTATATATTACACACACGCACACATAAATAAAAGAAAAAATAAATAAAATAAAAATAAAGCTGTAAAATATAAAATAAAATTGAACACCAATTTATAAAGTAGTTCACTTTATTGTTTAGTTGTTAATAAGGGTAAAATAAAACAAATAAAAATAAATTAATAGAAGAGTAATGTTAGAGAAGGAAGAAAAGAAAATAAAAATAAAAAAAATAAATAAAAATCAACACCATATATTACAAACAAAAATAATAATAAAACAAACTTATTTACACAACATAACTACGATAAATTGTTACTAAAACAATAGTGAATTTGTTATAGGTTAATTTACCTTGGCCAATTTGTTGGTGAGTTCGATTTCGTTGAGAGCGCCGTTGTTCTTAGGAGCGGTGAGCTCGTCCATCTTCTCTGGGGCGTAGATGAATGGCGCCCAACATGGAGTTTCGACAAACTTGCCATGCCCTTGGACGGCACGGAGTTGTTCCTCGTCTACGCAAACGCGGCCATTCACGATGACGTATTCGGGAACACCGTGGCACTCCATACCCTCGAAGATGTTAAAATCGATGGCGATGTTGTGGGTCTTTGACGAGATGACCCTGGTCTTGCTAGGGTTCCAAACGACGATGTCGGCATCGGAACCGACGGCGATACAACCCTTCCTGGGGTATACGTTGAAGAGTTTCGCAGCATTGGTGCTTGTAATTGCGACGTATCTGCATGGGTCAATTATACCACTATGGACACCCTTCTCCCAGATAACAGACATACGATCCTCTACGCCGTTCACGCCGTTAGGGATCTTCGAGAAATCACCTTTACCCATCTCTTTCTGTTCCCTGGTGAATGTGCAGTGGTCGCTTCCGGTCAGCTGCAAGACATCCCTGCAATAGCGATCACGTAATAAAAACACACATTTCCGGAACAGGCATGTGCGCTTATGTAATAGAATTTTAGTGCTCCTTTCGGGCAATGAATATCAATCAGTTAGTACGTATTTACTAGTGGCGGAATATGAGTGTGTCAGAGGTTAGATGAGTGTTAATATAATTAAGACTTACGATGCGAGATACCCCCAAATTTGGTCGGGGATATCTGGATTAGAGCGTAGCGGTGGCGATGTAATGGTTTTCATGTTCTGCGAGTCGCCAACAAGGGCTAAGTTCGAGACTAAGGTGGTCCCGTAAATAGTCGCCCCAGGCGTTTGATGTTTTTTAATCATTTCCGCAGACTGACCGGTCGATATGTTGTCAAAGCAAATTGCAGCATTCACCTATACTCAAATACTCAAAAGGTTCAAATCTTTCATCATTGGGCACACAAATCTAATAAAATATACAACAAATCTTTGTCGTCTTGTTAGAAGGTTCGATCACTATATGAAAGCGCAGGAAGTCGGTGCAAAAAGAGAAATAAACGAAATGAAATCAAAGAAACCAGACAGAAGTAAATGATAATGAAAAATTGGTGTTGGAACGAAATCAAAAGAAAAAGAAACTAAAAACTTACTGTGCCAAATATTCCATTAAACATTTTGGTGTTGTGGTATCGGGTCTTAAGGGTGGGCTAAGAATGTGGCCGGCAGAGTGATGCCAACAGGAGTGCTTGTAATTAGAACCATCGGTACCTAAAGCAGCGGCCAATGTTTCTCCATACACCCAAGTGCCATTATCCCTATTTTCTTTAAGAGTTTCAGTTGCGGATTTGCTCATTACATGCACTACATACAATGGACAATCTACCTATAAAATCCCAACACCGAGATCAAAAATAAAATTATTATTCCAGAGAAAAGGCCAGGAGAAATAAATAAATAGTTAAATAAAATAAATAATAAAAAAAAAACGAAATATTGAAATCAAATCATAAATAACGACAGATCATGCTATTGACAAATAAGCGTGTTATCGCAGTTCGCATTAAACTCTTGACTTACTTGTTTGGAGATAACGCAAGCCCTGTTTACAGCCTCAGCCTCGATGCATTCGGGTCTCGACATTTCGTGCCCTTCAGGACCGGTCACTCCGAAGGCCTTCAACTTCTCAACGTTCTTCTTGATGATCAGACCGTTCTCGGCGTGAACCTGAGCCAAAGCACCCAACTCCCTGCAGCGTTGGAAAGCGCCGTACAGCTCGTCATCCTTCAAGTAGAAGTCGTAAGCCATAAACATCTTGAATGAATTGACGCCGTGCTTCTCGCACAGGGTCTTCATCTCTCCCTTAACTTTGTCATTCCAACTAGTCAAAGCCACATGCAAACCGTAGTCACAGCACACTTTGTCATCAGCCTTCTGCCTCCAGGCGTAGTAGCTGTCGAGGATCGATTCCCCTTGCTTCGGTACAACGAAGTCAACTGTTGAGTGGAAACGCGTTAAAATTTATATCAAATCCTTAATGAAGACAACGAAAACATACTGATCATGGTGGTGCCACCGGCTACGGCGGCCTTTGTTCCTTGGTAGAAATCATCGACGGAGGTTGTACCCATGAACTCGAACTGCATATGGGTGTGGGGGTCAATACCTCCGGGAATGACATATTTACCCCGGGCATCGATCACCCTCGTGCCGCCTGGGATAAGCAGATTACGGCCTAGCTGCTTGATGATACCATCCTCAACGTAAACGTCTTGTTCGACGATTTCGTTCTCGTTCACGGTCTTGCCATTCTTAATGAGCAGCCGATTTTGGGCGCTCTGAAAATGTATGCAAATTACGCATCCGGTCATGTCCCATTCACATTGTAATAATAGTAAACGGACTGCATCCAGTTAGAAGAACCGAAACCATGCCCAGACTTAATTATGTTCGTTTGGCCAAATACGTGCACGCCTTAATCGCATCGCGTTACTTATTTGAATAAAGAACCAGTTTTGTAACTTGTTTTTAAGTTCAAAACAAATAAGATTAAATTTAGTTATTTGCTCATATTACGGAATAATAATTTGTTCAGTAAATATTACTTAAATGCTGTAAGGTTGAGGAAGAGATGAACAACTCGCGAAATATTAATTGGAGGGGTTAATTAGTGCAACTTAATGTGCGCAATGATGCAAATTGTGCTAGAACTCATTCATTGCTTCAATGAATTTCATTTATTGAGTTAGAGTGAGCGAGAAAAAATGAAATACAAGTAAGAAAGTGTAAATATTTGGTTAGGTTTTTTTTAGCACAACATTTATAAATAACAGTGCAAATATGATTGGGTTGTTTATAAATAAATGACATGTGGTTTGGTGATTTTGTAATAAATCGGCATTGCTATGTGCTATATTGGTAAGGGAAATGCGGATGTGGAAGGCGGCGGAAAAATCAATACTTTTCTCGCGATGTTGGATGTGTGCGATTCACATTTAAATTTAGCCAAGTCCTATTCCCCATAGGAGTTCATGTATGATCTCTTTTCGTTTCGCGTGGAATTAGTGTGTGAACCGGGGAAATGGTAATAGGCACATCCTCTTTACCAAGTTTCATTAACCGTCCTAATTACTGGGGGGTGGCTGTGTGGTCAACCTGTTCACACTCACTCACCTGCAAATGAATGGGAACTTTCTTGACTGGAGTGCTCATCCTTCTTTCCAAATATGTCCTTCTGGTTGATTCGATTGAAAAACTGTGGTCCGTCTGACGACTGGTGTAGAATCAGCAAGGATCTGATAACTGATCGTTGTTCCTACCGTTACGAGTGCGTTTCGCGCTCCGAGCTTCGATACGGAATAATACGGAAGTGAAGAGGAGGATGGAGGATGGTAGTGGTTCGAGCCGGCTACACAGTAGGGCGTTAAATGACGGGCGAAAGTTGCCTAGCTTCCCGATAGAGTGTCTGCAATCTATTTGCAGTGCTTTATTTATACATCTAGTTTTTCAACACCGGCAATCGTTATCGTTCCGAATTGCGCAAACGTCGACGCGTTCGCTCTTCCGAAATCGTCTATCACGATTGTAGATGGAATAAAAACAAGAATAACAATCGCTACTTGCAAGTCATTTCGCTGAAAAATCGAATCTCTAAAGAATAAAACTAAATCACTACTACCCGACGACTCCAATAAAAGGCAGTGTCGTGCGTTATAGCCAGGGCGGTGTCTAGTCTAGCCTACAATCAGCTCCACCCAAACCGCTACTTTCGCGTGCCAAGTTCCAAAACTCGTTCAAAATTGGGTCGCGAAGGTTCTTAAATATGTCGTTAAAATACGGCATAGACAAACCAGATGTAATTCCTAAAGTCTCACTAAAATGCATTTATTATTTCGTATTTTGTTATTATTTTCTCACATTTAGTAGATCCACAAACATAAATTTTCTTATAATATGATATTGTGAGTGTACCAAGTGCTTTAAAGCTCTAAATAAATACAACTTAACAAATATGTTCTTCTTTATATTAAAAGAAAATTAATTATGTTGTAGTTTCGAGTATCGCTGTAAGTTGCATCTTCCCGAAAAAAACTCGTTGGTAATCTACAATGAAATTACCTATCTAATTTTGAAAATCATATAGAGAATCATACAGTTCATAAAAATAAGCAAAGGGTGATACATATGACAGTGGACATCCAACGACTTTGATTTCATTTAAAAATATTTTTTAGTTATTATTTTGTAGTAGAAGTTCTAAAAAAACTTAATAGGTCAATCGATTTTATGTTATATGCATCCTGCCATTACTATTTAGAGACTTCTACGCCACTGTATTACATCCAAACACATTTCGCATTATATTCTTTGTATAATTTCTTGTTGCTTATATGTTAAAATCATGTAAGTTCTATAAACCATACTTTAGCTTTATCAATCGATTCAACAACGTAGCTTACAGGAATATTGTTAAATTATTATGTTTATGCATTTTATTAGCTACCGGGTCTGGAAGAGCTAAAAAGATTGCAAGGATACTACGATATTGATTACGAAGGTCCTTTTCCGGAACATCTTCAAGAGAAGATAAAAGCAATCATGATGTTACCGGACGAGTAAAGAACTTTCTTTGTTGTAACTGTAGTACTAAAGTGGTTGATACATTTTAGGCCGTACTATTCTGATGATGATACCTATTACAACGACGCAGTGCAGATTTACGACCTTTGCTTATCACCAACGGTGAAGCAGACTGCGCATTTTATGTTTGTTTTGATCATAACAAACATACTATATCATTGCCTCGCCAAGATCTGTAATTGATACTGTTTTGTTGTTATTGCTGATGTTATTATAATATCATCTTTTACAGCTTATCGCATTTCTGATTCCCTGGTACACGTTATGTCAACCATAATTGGATTGACCTATCTATACATGTTCAGCTTCTACGGCAATGTTGAGGTATTGTTTATCATCCCGGTGGTATACTTATCATACTACGCTTTATGCGAAATGGAGCAAAGAGTTTTTGAAGCTGAGTTCAGCACTGGGATAACAATTGGGGCAACGTTTGCATCAATCCTCATTTCCTGGTGATTCTCTTGAATACCTATATTCACAATAGTATGTTTAAATGCGTTTTTGCAGTGAATATTACTATCCTGACCATGAAGCTTGGTTGAAAGTCAGAAGCGTTGTGATGGTAGCGATGATGAAGATCATCTCTCTGGCTTTCGATATACATAGAAATCACCGTCTACCAACTCTTATCGAATATAGTGGCTATATATGGTGTCCAGCCAATAGTCACGTTGGACCTTGGATCACATTCAAGGAATATAACCGTGGTAACAGATCTAATACAATTGTAAGTTTTAAACATTTGTGTTATCAATGACAACTTATGTAATATGTTTATATTTTTTGTCTTCTAGAATTTTAGCTGGGTTATCGGTCTAATAAAATATTTTATCATGGCGATGGGATTTGTTTGTTTCAGTAATTGCATCAGCACATATTTAATTAGCGATAACTCCAATATGTAAGTTATCTAGAAATTATACTTGTCATTGATTTAAGCTGACTTTGCGCATTTCAGATTTTTGCTCTCCTTCCGTCATGCGATGAGTTTCAGAATGAGCCACTATTTCATTTCTTTCGTCGGCTCAACTGCAATGGTTGCAGCAGGATTTCGGAACGATATTAAAAGCTCACACGTATTTTGGAATTACACTATAACCAGACCGTACGAAACCGAATTTCCTAGATCTCTGGCTTGCGTTGTCGCCAACTGGAACTTACCGGCTCACAACTTCCTTAAGAAATGTAATTTAATCGAAACCTGTTAAATAACATTCAGATCATGCTGATTCTTGTTTCAGATATTTATCCGTTGTTCCTACCGTACGGACAGTTAATGGCTGTACTCATGACATTCTTTGTAACAGCTATGTTGCTTGGGTTGAGTGTCGAAGTGTCTGTCGTTTTGCTCACACTATGCGTCTTCTCATATGCCCAATCCAGATTCCAAGAACGAACCGCGAGGATGCTGGATGCCTGCATTCGTATTAGACCATGCAAGGTTTGCAAATATTACTATCGTTGCGATTCTAACCTTGTCCGCTTCTTCAATCTCTTGTACACTATTTCAACCATCATCCTTATGACTTACATTGGTTGCTTGATGGAAGACATCAATCACACACGTACTGTTAGAGAAATTGCAGATGGCATCACATTCAAGTGGTCCCAGCTAAATGGTATCGGCCATTTCATATCCTGTATCTGTCTTACTATAAGTTGGATACTGGGTTAAATCTACATAAATTTCCCCTGCTCCGTCCTACCCACTTATCAACCAGAGCTGTTAATTTATCAGTATTATTTTAATTGTTTTCTTTAAGTACTTATTCAGTATTCCATTATTCCTTATTCACTTGTAATTGAATAGTATTTAAATTATGGTTTCTTTTGTGATATTTCTTTAAAACAAAATCCAAATAGCTTTGATCCTTTGCATGCAATCTGTTTCTCTAAATAATCTTATATGTGTTGAATGTTGTTACTCGTAATCCTAAATGTATTATTCTTAATCGCATTTCGAGAACGAACCAAAGACTATTCATTTATTTTTATTTTTTATATACATTGCCGTTGCTTAATTATATTTTCTTGGTTTATAATTCCTTGAAACAAAAAGACTTAATATTAATTAAAGTTAATGATATGATTTGTTTGATTGAGATTTATGTATGCGCAAACATACAAATCATCGTGAGAGAAAGATCTGAAGTTCGATGAGCATATTAAGCTTTAATGATGGACATTTACAATCAGTTATTAATTTATAATATTTTCAATTCCATTATGAACTATTTCCATTTTGATGAAAATCTTTGAATGTTCTTCCCCGCTCCATATCATAACGTATACAATTCCAAAAAAACGATATTTAGAGGTATTAGATGTATTGTTAGATGAATGTAATGTATTTGTAGTATATTTCCTCTAAACTGATTGTCTTGAAATACTGACAATGATCATAATGTAATCTTGATCAACTTGCGCATAAAGGTTTTCATGGAAATTGATTTATCTAATATTAATTGAGATATCCTTTACGATTATGTAACTTATGTTTTGAGTTTTGCGATGAAAGGGGAGCAACTATGATTATGTTAATATTGTTTTATAATTGAGGACTGAACTGAATTTACATATAAAGATATATATCGTTTATAACATTTACGGAATTTACGATGATTTATTTACTTATAAAGAAGTATTTATATTTTGATGAAAATCTTTTTGAGAAAAACAAATATATTTAATAATTAGAATGGATCTAAGCATGTGTAATATGATCATGTGAAGTAGATTTTAGAGATTGTACATTTCCTGAAACTCTTCTAAGTATTGGAAAATAAAATGTATCAAAATATATTATATTTCTTCTTTTCTCTAGGATTTCGCCTAATTAAATTAATTATACTTAACAAATAAAAAAAAAGATGGTTATAAGCTATGTTGGGATATGCAACCAAACAAACAAATGTTTGGGGGATTCCCCTTACTATGAGAAGGGATTTCGATACAGTCGAGCAGTCGAGATTTCAATATACAGTATTTCGGTTGTCGGGTTTGCGATTGCCACTGATTAATGTATATAGTAATCTTGTTAAACCTTATACTTTACTTAAAATAACTATTTAAAATCATTTATATTCAACTTAGATAGAAAATATTATCTTTAAAAGGTAAATAGCATCTTAATGAAATTAAATGTAGTATGTAAGTTATATTATATTACTGTAGGTGGCGTAGGTGAATTTTATTTTCCAACTTCAATTGTTGAGACATATGAAGATAGTACACTCAAGTATGATTTACAAACCAAACAAAAAATATTTTTGATCCTGATGTTTGTTTCTGTGACTTTCACAAGTTTTGTGGAAATATTATTAATGGTATAAGTACTTATTTATCTTGTCTTAATAGTCTTTTATGAATGACATTGATTAGTTCGTATAGCAGCCACACAGACTACGAATTTATTCTATTATTTGGAACAAGTATACTTAACCTAAGGTACTAGTTACTACATTTGTACTATAGTAGATGTCGCATTAATCGATTTGTATAGTTCTCAACAGTGCCGTTTGTGCGCCAGTCATCGTTATTCTTTTTTATTCATTTATTATTGTTCGGATGAAATGTTTGCTGTGTGTGCCGGTGTTTTGTAGAAGTTTGGGAGAAGTTGATCCATGCAGAATTACGCGATGGCTGTTCGGGCCTTTCTAGGGAACTGGGAGGTAAGTCTTATAAGATTGTATTAGAATTGTGATTTTGCAGAATATCATTTTAAACAAATTTAATTTGCAAACCTTACACTGCAAATAAAGTAATTTAACTAATATCATGCAAGATTATAATGATATATTTTTTCCTGTCTCTGGAATAAGTATGTATACATTGTCTTTCAGATATCCTCGTTTACTTTGAATAATGAAGTGCAGTCAAATGACTCCGGTCTGGAAGGGTATAAATCATTTGTTTTTGTATTCAATATATATAGATTATCAAGTACTCTTGTATTTCAGAGTCAAATTTCATTTAGATGATACCGGTGATGTTACTTGGTACATCAAAGAAGAGTTGAAGAGTATTCCACTCTTTAGTTGTGAGACATATGAACTGTACAACACGTCAAGTGGAACTTCACTAGTTGTAATATTAAGGTTCGGAGCCTATGCGGGTCATGTATTGGAGTTTAAAGTAAATATGATGCTGATTTTTAACAATAGCTATTATAACTGTTCATTTGTAGTGCGACCAAAGTACTGCTGAGCAACTGTGGATTGCTTTGAGGAAAGGAAGTAAATAACTTTTAACTATTTTCAATTTAGAATTTTTTAACTTGTATATGTATGTTGTTTTTTTTTTCTAAGAACCAATCAACAAAATGACTTTAATATGTGAAGGGTGGTGTGTGCTTGATTGCAAAAGGATTGCAGATATTTGTACTGATGATGGTACCAATAGACCATTTTCACTCCTTCAAGCCTTAGAAGAAGGTTACTTTTCTGATTTAACTTTAACAGCTGCAAATTTGAAGCAGGTTGTTATTAATTATACATATTTTTTAAAATTTTATTTTCAAAATACTTCTGTAGTTTAAGGTGCACAGATGTATATTACGTCTGTTGGGAGGAGGTATTAACTGGGATACAGTTGCACCTCCTTTTAATGGATTGAGCGAGATCGTAATATCAACAATATTACACTTTCTGTACTCGGAGAGTTTACCAAATGTATTGGACGAGATAACTGCACATGAAGTTATTCAACTGACTTCTCCATATGTGTGTTTAAAAAAATTAGTGGACACCTGTAGGATGTATCTTAAGAATACTGCATTGAAACAACGTAAGAGTTACCATTTCTGCTCACTGGATACATGTACTTAAGGCAATATTTTAGAAATCATCAACTTGGTTAACGATATGCATACGGCTATCCAACAGGTAATTGGACATTTTAGTACACAGTCCCGAAATTTTAATCCTGCTAGCTTGTGCTATGCAATCAAACAGTCCATTCGAGAGGGTTGCGTTGCCGCATCAAAACTACTGCTACTTTGCGATTTATTCACAAAAAGGAAGAATGAGTTGACAAGAAGCGAGAGACACGAAATTATAATTTACGCAAAATCGCGTTTACCTATTTTCGTGTCGCAACTTTTAAAATTCCTCCAAGTGTTTAAGTGCACTTTCAGCGCCATGACATCTCTACAGAGGCTGGAGGTCTGTAGTTATCTAGTGCCCGAGATTGAAGTTATCTTAGAAACGATATCGATGATAATAATAGAAATCAAAAAATCACTACAGAAAATTATTGAAGATACGCCGCCACATGAATTGCTTAGACCTAAAATGTGCGTAGGAGCTATACTTGGCAAAACATTGAGTAATGTTCTTCATGTTAGAGAAATTACCAAGCTCAGGAATATACATGAACAGATATCTTGCACTTTAGAGCTTTTGCTTGGAAAGAAGTTAGTTATATTTTAATTGCATAGAACCTAATTTATTGATATGATTGCCATTTTAGGCAATGCTTCCGCAGCATGACTCAGCAACAAAAGATCCGCTCTGTATCCCGAAATCTGCATCAAATTCTAGAAGAACTACCTATATTCTTAATACGAATCGAAGAAATCTCTAAGGCTTTGGACGATCGTGTCGAATGGAAAGAATTCAAGTTCTGCTTTAAAGTAGGGACCAGCAAAGTAGTAAGTACCTTATTTATGATGTCAAAGATATATTATATAAGAAGCGCTTCTTTAGTCTGGTATTTTGCAAAAATTGGTTGCCCACCGAGAGACACTTCAACCTGTGTTATTGCGAGTCTGTGAAATGGTTCAAAGGGAGGCTTTCACCCAATCACTACAAATTTTGAACCTGTTGTGTACAGCAAGTACTTCACACATGAGCAACCCTCAGCCATCTTCCAGCTTTAACTTGGCTTACGTTCTCAATCATCCAGTGCCTAAGGTAACTGAAACGGAAATTGTTTTCATATAATTTATATTGAATGTTGTTTAGTTAAATCTTGTCGAGTCATTGTGTATTCCGCCTATTTCATCGGCGAGTAAATTGTCGAAGTTGTGCCTGGAATTGCTAACTAGCGAATTTGGATGCGATATGGAGTTCGAAGTTGTTTATAATAGTTCGCAATCAGACCAAACCCTTAGAGAACATGCACAGGGTGTTTCAACGTCTGCTGACGACGAAAGAACAATTATCAGAGCACATCGAGTAATCGTTGCAACCAGGTGTGACTGGTTCAGAAGAGCACTTCTGTCAGGAATGAGAGAAGCTATAGACAAGTATAACTATTAAAATATACATAAACTCTAATTAACGTTATTCTCATCCTAGAAAAATTATCATTCACGATACTAACCCATTTCTGTTTCGGGTATTTCTCGAATATTTATACTGTGGGAAGATTATTAATCCAGCATTAAATACTGACCATCTTATGGAACTTCTGCTTTTAAGCGACAGGTATGAATTAGATTCACTAAAGCATATCTGTGAAAATACCCTCAAGCAATCTTTGGATATGGAAAACGCTATCTACTATGTTAGCATGGCCGACCAGTTCAACGCACCAGTTTTAAAGGTACCATACTATGATTTTTATATCACGGATATTCATTCATGTATTTTCAGAATGCTTCGCTAGTGTATATATCGCAAAATCGCGATTTAGCCGAGTCCGAAGTGTTTCACGAGTTAACCACTCCTCTCCGAACTGAGATCTATAACTTCATGTACAGAAATACAGATCGAACGGTGGGTGCATATTCTAGTCCAGAAACCAGTTTTTCTGATGTACCTAAAGGTCCCAATGACAGCAATTTGGGTACCCAGGTATTCAGCCTCACAAATTTCTTTATTTTAATGGTTATGGGGACATTCCCTATATTTCAGGCACAGTCCTGCAGCAGTTCCATGGAAGACCTTCCTGCTCCTGATCCTGTGCGTCTTGAACAATGCATACAACAAATGCGTGACATTTTGGACATCTCAGTGTCCAGGGAAAGATTAATTCAGGTGATCTTGGCCGCCGACTATGATCTTTGTAGGGCGATGAACTACTACTACGCGAGGGCAGAAGAGGATGAGTAGCAAAATGTTATGTGAGTCCAACTTGGTAGATTGTTTCATTCCTCGTTGCCTGATTATTCAGAAACTGAAATAACTTGCTTCGTAAATTTAAACATCAATACTTTTCCACAATTTTATTTCACGAAGGTTCTTCTAACACGCCGAGGACCTATAGTTTCGTTTTTTTTTAATACTATATAGTATTTTTTTATATTAACTCTGCCTATTTATTTTTATTTTGGATGCGTGAAGTTCCTGCGCCTTGTCACATATCAAACAATAAGTTTACACAATTTTAATAATTTATTGATATATGTGTTGCAATATTTTAAAATGCCATTCCTATATAATATATTATTCCAAGAATTATTTTACGCAGTGATAGACGTCATCCAACGAAATAGGCTGCGATATTTGTATTATTTTTTTTTTCTTTAATTTTGCAAAGAAATTTTTATTTTATTTTATTTATTAATCGCTGGTCCTTTAATAAGCGAAACCTAAATTTAATATAAAAGACTGCTAAATCAATAATTTTGATTATTATGATCTTGTTCGTCTAATTAGAAAATTTGAATAGTATGGCCTAATAGCTATTAAGGCATTAATTGGACGAATCAATTTTAACATACTTGTACCTACTATTTAGAATATTCTGAACAACAGAAATTGAAATTATATATTTTAATTTTTCAAAGCTTTAAAATTATCGTGATAACAATACAATTGTAAGGATTTAACATATACATTTACTGATTATTATATTTAATATTATAACTCCCATTTGTTGTTTAATATAAAGAAAAAAATCATGTAACACCATTGGGAAATCTAGAATACAATCAATATTGTCTCAACGAAAACAAACGAATATTGTATTTTGAGCAATACATATTGTAACAATCAAAGAAACATATTCTATTCCCGATGTATGTACGTTTTATTATATTATAGTATTTTGTATATTATTATTAAATATATGAATTCTAGTCAAATTTATATTAGCGTGTAATAAGTAGTCAAGAAAGCAAACATAATTGTAAAAAAAAGTACTAATATTATTATGTAATTTATACTGACAGAACCGAATTGCATACAGGGTTTGCTAAATATACTAAGATTTTTCGGTTGTGTAAACGAAAATATTTTTTTAGACGATTTTTATTTTCTAGACCAGATCTCTATTTTTGATATTAGCCCAAATTTTATTTACTTTAGAGTTTAAATTGCCTTTTTTTAAAATAAGTGAGCCAAATTGTTCTATTGTACTTTCAATTAAGGCATCAAATCCTGTGTGCATGAAAACTTTAAAAAAATAATTAAATGAGTTATATCTCGTTTAAAAAAAAGGAGTATACATATATTCACATTTAGATGTGGGCATAAAAAACTTACATAAGAGATTATTGTATATGTATACATGATTACTGTTAGCACACTGTTTTATTTGTATTATTTGAAGTTTTATCTAGACTGTTGAGTGTTTTGTTAAAAGTTGAAAAGCATATTCCATTTTATTTAGTATTACTATCTTACCTGACCATATTATGTTATTAATGGTACTATTTACCTGTTTTATTTTTTATTTATTTATGAAAATTATATAAAAAAAAACTGTATTCATATAATATATATGTATGCGTATATAAATAATTTAGTTTTCATTATTTATTCATACTTTGTTTAATTTGAAGCCACATTACAATTATTATTAAACCTTGTCTCTACGTGTTTCCTTGTCATATCGTTTTATCTAATTCTGTATCCATTATTATGAACTTCAGTATCCTATTCTTGTTAGATTGTTCCAAATCGTGGATGAATTTCGATATGGTTTCATTCAATTCTTTTGGATAATACATTACAGGTAACTGTTTCAAAGAAACAAGTGTCCTTTCGAAAATTTCGAAGCAGGAAGGAAGCGATTCACAGCACGAGTGGAAGTATATGAGTAAGCCTAGTGAAACGTTGATTACCTTTCCCCGGAAGCTTTGATCGAAATCCTTTGCATCTGTTAAATCTTTAATGTCTAGTTTGTCATTGTCCATGGAATCAACAGGTTCTGTCAAAACGAGACTACAACTGAATTTGTTGGATGACGGAAATTGTTTCGAATTTTTTGGTATTGCTATGCGAAGGATTCCATTGAGGAACATCACGCAGGCTGGAGAATATCCTTTTGATAAAGACGTGTACTAAAAAAATGTTATATATTAACTAAAATATAATCATAGTCATAGCTTACTTGTGCTATTAGAGTAACCAGAAATAATCCATAAGCGACATCAGCTCTTGTTTTAACCTGGCATGTGGTAAGCATCTGTTCCATGAACACTAAATTAGGTGTAAGCAATTGGAGTTCTTTTTCCGTAAACAGCTGATAGCTTAAGTTTAAATAAAGAATAACGTCGATACCAGGAAATCTTGACGTATCTTTTCGGTATTCGGTTTGCTTCTCTTGAATTACATCCAGCAATGATATATGAGCTCTCTCTGGATTCAGCATAGCCAAATCAAAAAATTGAGGAGTTAAGCAAGTGAATACGTCGAAGCATTTTTTGCAATCCTTCAGATCGCAACAAATGTCGCTCAAATGTCGAAGTAAGTATTCAAACAAACTGCTTACTTCGATCATATTCTCTTTCTGCAAACTCAGATGATTACATTGAATCATCCTTTCAATTATGACACTTTGATCGTGGCTAGGTTTATCTTGCAGAAGTTCACGTAGTTGCTCGTAATTTTCAGGAAGACCGTACATAGATTGTGACTCACCACGGGCTTTATCCAACAGCTTTATCTCTTTGAAGTCTTCATTCAAGCTTTCCGTTTCCGAATAACCCATTATTGATCTATTAATCAAATTTGTTTTAGAGATCTGGACTTTTTTTCTGAAATAAGACATATTTTTTTCAGGTTCCTCTACATTTTTCAATATTACATCATGTACTGACACTGTAGTTATACCATTATTCATTGATAACGTCAAGTCCGATACTGATATGTCTGTCATATGTCTATCATCAAAAGACAGGTTTATTTTTTCCAAGTTTTTTTCGAAACTAAAAACCAATTACAATAATTAAAAATATCCAGAATCAATTTAAAAAATAATTATTACTTCAATCTGAACTTTTATTTAATTTTAACTTTATTGAATTACCTTTGTAATATGTTGTTTTCCATTGGAAGCTGTATTTGATCGTCGATCTTGTTATTACAATTTGGTACTATCAACAAAACTTCTTTGTACTCGAACTGATCTGTTAACTTGTAAATCGATGTGTTTTGCTTCTTCGGCGACCCTAGTACATTCTGGTTATTTGAGGATTGCTTTGTAGTACTTTGCAATTTATTACAACTATTTTCCTTGAATTGCAATTTCTCGAGTCCTTTCAAATAATCGTCTTTCGAAGTTTGTTGATGGTAAGTCCAAATATGTTCATCAAACAATAAAGACTTCTTTTTAGAGTTTAGAATAGAACAGGGAATGGATATATCAACTGGGCGGTTACCATTAACTCTCCTATTCCGTAATTTATAATCAGTTGTTTCTGTTTTTCGAAACGCCTTAGATAAAGATACTCCGTCGTGCTTGGTCTTCTTATTCAAAAATCTAATTTTCACTTTATTTAGAAAAACTTCGAAAGGATTAAAAGCCTTCTTAAATTTGGGAGATTTCTGCACGGCCTCCGCTGATCTGCGAGTCTTATTTTGTACTTTTACCATTTTTTTCACGTTCCCTGCCTATTTTAAACTGGCTGTATATTTATCGATTTCAGGTACAATTTTTTGAAACTTTTTAAATGTATTTTATGTTGCCTGCCGTTAAAATCTTAAGATATGCAATATAATTAGCATACATTTCTAGAAGTCATTTAAATATTTTGTGTGAAGTTTCATTTCCAAAAGCCAAAAAAATCAATTGTATTCATTAAGGGTCTTTCGATACGAAATGAGGCCCTACACGTTGGCGAGACTGACTTGTGACGTGATTCTTAACCTATAATATTGATTTTCGTAACATTTGTTTGTAAACAACTCCTTGATATAAAAACGTGAGCATGGATGTTGTGACGATGGATGATTTCGATCAAATTTGTCGCACGTGCCTTCAGAAACATGAAGAAAAACGTCCGTTCGACGAATTTGTTAAAGAGCACGAATCTATACAGAACCTCATAATATCTAATATTTCGTCAGAGGTAAAGTTTTAGACTAAAATTAATTTATCTAATAATTGCATGGCTTTTTATAGTCTGAAGAAATGCCAAAGAATATTTGTAAGGTCTGTGAGAACGTGTGCATCAGTTTCATCAACTTCCAAGAGAGTTTCTGGAAGAATGAAAAGTTGTTGCTGGAGATTATCAATAATTCAAAACTGAAAATCAAGGAAGAGGTGAATCTTAAAGAAGCTAGCATATCAAACGATTCTCACATCTATAAATGCAACAGTTGCAATGATGAATTTGGCAGCAAGAATGAGTTGACTGATCACAGGCGCATTTCTAAGCACAGCAGCAAATCAAATCCTTGTCAAGAATGTGGAAAGGTTTTCAGCAGTAGTAAGTTGACGCAACACATGAGGACGCACACAAAAGAGAAACCATACGTCTGTAACATCTGTAAACAAGGTTTTTCCATGAGCGGTAATTTGAAAAGGCATATGATGACGCACACTGGAGAAAGGCCGCACGTTTGCGAGATGTGCGGTAAAGGCTTCATTCAATCAACATCTTTAATAAACCACAGGAAGACGCATTTAAGTATACCGAAAGTCAACGTACAGACTTGCAGTTATGACTGCAGGTATTGTGGTAGAAGCTTTAAACGTCTGGCGAGGTACAACACTCATCAAAGGAAACACTTTTCGGAGAATGGTCGCGTGGCTGCGGTTAAAATTGATGAGCCAAAACCTATTCCTATGCCGGAGTATATCTGTGACATTTGCAAGAGGTGTTATAAGACTAAGAATCTACTGAAAGCGCATCAACTCACGCACGGCGAGAAGGCTTTCTTGTGTTCGGATTGCGGCAAGCGGTTTTTCACCAAAGCAGCATTGGAATCACATTTAAAAGTAATGTTGTTTTTATTTACGTTCCAGTTAGTTGACTCCAATAATTTCAGGTTCATACTGGCGAAAAGCCTCATACCTGTAACGTGTGTCAAAAGTCCTTCGCACACGTTGGAAGCTTCGAAACGCATATGCTTATACATCTAGGAGTAAAGCCTCATACCTGTAAGCAATGCTCCAAAGTGTTCACGCAGTTGTCACATTTGAAGTACCACCTTCGTACTCACAGTGGAGAACGTCCATATATTTGCTCTTTGTGTGGTAAAAGCTTTGCTCTGAAAGGGAATTTGACTGTGCACACTAGGATACATACAGGAGAAACACCGTATACTTGCGACGTTTGCGGGAAAGGCTTCTACGATTCTAGCAGCATGAAGAAGCACAGCCGGAGCCACGATATTGTTCTGATTTCTGCTAACAAAGATTCATTACCATCTGCCGCTACCAGTGTTTAAAATAATATAACAATTCTTTATTTTATTGTTTGTGATATATTTACTGACAACTGAAGTATTTTTATTTGAAATGTGATATTCTTTTGTTCCTTTTATTTGACGTAATGTTATTATACAAAATATATACCTTGTTTTCTTCATTTTATTGGTGTTTTATGGTGTTTTATTAATAGCCTGCACGTTTTATTACAACATCTAGATTATGTATCCGGTACAATCATGCGAGTCCATAGACGTCTGGATGCGACAAGCGCTCACCTTCTTCATCGATTAAATGTCTTCATGAGAGATTATCTGAACTGCATCATAATTTAAAAATTCAACAAGAGTCTGCTTTCCTATTGTGGAATCGTCCGGTCAAGGTGGAAAGTGCATCTTTCATGAAGCACTTTGCAGCAAATATTCTTGTAATTCAAGTTCAAGTTTGAAGCCGTTCCATCTATTTTAATAGCAATATCCATACATTATTAAAGAGCATCAACAAAACGCAACTAATCGCATTAGTTGTTTTTTTGTTTGTTTGGTGCATCCTTTATGGCTTTAAAAGTTTACAAAATTTAATTAATAATTCTGCTTGCATCCGAAACTTATTGGAATAGTTTGGGCAAAGATGATTACAGGATCATATCCTGTATAGAAGAGGCTTCTGCCGTCGTCTCGCGACTCGAGGACAATGCGGAAGCGCACTAATTGATTAATTAACATCATATGCGGTAATTACCCTGAAGGTCGACCGCAGGCAGTACAAATAATCGGACACAGAATCGCATTCGATTACGGAATCCATTAGGGGGAAACATCCAATTTCCGACACACAATCCTTCCTGTCTGTCCGGAAAAAAAATATGTTGCGTTAAACGTAACCTAAGAAAATAAAAAAAACAACACGGATGTCGCATAATCAAATGTCAATTATTCATTAATGAAGTAAACGAATTCCCTTTAAATTATTAACCCTTCAATTAGGAGGTTAACAAGTTGTTTCTTTGCGAGGACGCTACGGTGCCGGGCCTTTCTTTAACAATTTCTTCCTGCTGGAAAGGGGATGAGTGCGAAATGGTTAATATTTTATTTACGTAAGGGATGGTTTCCCTACTATCCTGGAAACAAGATGGTAATAAGTGTAGGAAATGCCTTGACTCAGAAAATAATGAAACGCTTCTTCCCGAAGCGTCCCTCGCATTTGCATACTACAATTGTTTTGATAACTCTTTCATGATATTCTTGTTTGAAACCATTGAAACACCTGAAATTGAATTTGACTATCTTGGAATTCTAATGAATTATATATTTGATTCAAGTCACATTTTGACATTAACTGATATATACATTGAAAATTGATTCATTACAGAAATTCAAAATTTGTTTTATATAGCAACTATTTAACTCTTTCAGGAGCGGTGGTACACGCAATGTATCACCTTTTGAACATGTCTAGTGGGGAATTATTATATTTTTTCCAGGATGAATCGGAATTAGTTGTCTGATTCAGTTGTTTAGAAATTTAGGAATGTTTGGCCCCTCAAAGAGTTAACCAACAATCGTATAGGATAATAATCAATAGAAAAGACAGTTTATATAAGTACATAATTTTATATAAATAAATTTAGAAACATATCACGTTATTAAATACTGTTGAAAATACAGAAAGTTAAGAATATTATCATCAACTTACATATAAACTTTATGAAAAAATGTATAATTATTAAATTGCAAATTCTTTATTTTTATAGAAATTTACAAAAAAACATATAATTAATGACAATTATAGGTTGATGGTTAAACTTACCTTTTTCGTATTTTTCTATTTCTATATTTAGAAAAAAACGAGTTAATGCAATCCAAAAATACTTTCGATATAAAGTCAATCATCATCAATCAAGATATATTGGTCGTTACTCATTGACGAAATGAATAATTGGACATTTTAAGACAACTTTACTGGCAACCATAAACTTAAATGTATGACTAGTGGAAGTGGCATATACATATTATTACATTCGTAGCAGTCACATCGATTAAGACTTTTATTACCTAGTTTCCGCTGAGAAATAATCAATATTTAGAAAGTGTGGTACATTGTAATTGAACTACGACACTATAAACACATAGAAAATAGTGCTAAAGTTTAATTATTTTCCAATTTATGATTATAGAAAAAAAAAACAACAAAAATAATAAAATATTAATAATAAATAATTTATCGAAATAATTAAAAAAAAATGTTACAAAGTGTTATTTAACATTTTGGTGAAATAGAACGCATTAAAATATTGAATATATTCAAAATTTGGCGGAAAAGCTGCTGTCAATAAGTCTTGCTATATATGTTTGTTTTATTTATATATACACAATAAATGTTACTTTACTACTATTAACAATTTATAGAATATTTTATGAATATTTGAAATAATCGTCGAACACATTAATAAATGTATTATTTACAACAGTCTGAATATTTAGTGTAAGTATACATTTTCTACTATTATAAATATTTAATGAAACTAAATAATTTCGTGGTATGGATACGATATTTATTTTTTTATGTTATTTGATTCTTCCAAAGTATTTAAAAGAATTAAAGAATGAGGAAAGTGCAATAGCTGCCATTTTGAAATAATAATTTTAAATCCTAAACATGCAGAAAATCTAATACAGTGAAGACACTTATATTTTTAAATTATATGTTAATATTTTATGAAAATATAAAATTAATACGTTTCGAAAATTTCGCCCTGAAATATGGTCAAATAAATAAATAAAATAGTAATTTCTCAAAATTATTTCAGAAACTGTTTGAAATGTATACATAATTTATAGAATACATAATTTAACAGACTGATTTTTATTTAATTTGCTATAGTAGATTGTAAATAATTTATGATTGGAAGATGTCAAAGTGTTAAAACGAGTTTGAGGTAAAAATTTGATGAAGATGTTCGAAGGATGAGCATATGTTGTGGGTTAGCAACCGGTGATGTTGATCTGTCGAGAGTAAAAGCTATTTGTAGCTGAGATATTGTGGGACGGAATTACAGGAGCACTACCCTATCTATAGTTAGACCCTTCCATTTATATTTGGTACTATGGTCGCTTCGACAGGTCTTTTCTTTTACTGTTTGGAGCACGCGTTGTAAAGCCAAGACAAGATCAAGAGTTCGTAAGGGACCGTTCCGTCGAGTAGAAGCCTTCACCAGCATCCAGAACTGCCTTTCCGAACGCGGATCTTCTATCTGCGATCCACTCTGGTTACATAGTGTTTGATTTTTAGCAATTGTTAAAAATAGTTTACTTCTTTATCTGTTCTCTTCCGATATCTAAGCACGCAACATGCGTTCTCTATTAGTGTGGTAAGATTCGTGTCCGTTTTGTGCAAACTAACAAAATGATTAACCATAACAAGGTTCCACACAGTATTTTTCTTTTTTTTTTGCTTTTTTTCTACACTGCGTGTTCATGTGTGTACTCGTCTGGATTTGATCCGTCCACCAGCTAACATGTAACGCAACTATTTTGCTTATTTTTGTAAATCTTTCTCATACATTTTTTGTTGTTCTTCTTCCAACCAGTTTTATTCTTGGTGGAAATTCCGCCCAGTATGATTTCGGGATTATTATTAGCTTTCAGGGTGTCTCTGGATTATTATAGCACGCGCATTATTCTCGCGTGCAGAGAATGATTTCTTTCTTGTTTCTTCTTTTGTATTATTATTATTATTATGGTTATTTCTGCTTTCCGTTTGGATTTCGAAGAGCATGGGATTGTTGGTGTGTTATTTATAAATAATTAGGCTCTGTTTGATTGAGCTAATGAAGTCATCGCTTCGGTCGTATTTTTAGGATCGCGCGGTGTGTTTTGTAGAGATTTCGGGCAGATGAGATGATGCGATGTGGCGCGACGCGGCCGAAAATCCGAGGGCAAAGCAATAACAAATTGTAATGATGATGATAGTAATAATAAAAATAGAATGATATTTATTTTTTGAAAATTGAATGAAATTGATGAGATTTCGCTTGAATTTGAATGGTTTTTGGAGGAGTAAAGTATGTCCGCTCGGGAGGAGATCCGAAAACGGAATGGTTAAGTGCAGGAAGGCGCGGATAGATGGCGTCTCTGGCAGCGACGCGACGCCCGCGCCGTCCGCAGATTGCGATGCGGGTGGAGTATTTATTCCGATCGGGCAACCGCCTCCAACATTCCGCCACCGGCACTCTATCCGCCAACTACCGCCTCCTCGCACAATGCCTGAGTGAGACAGAGACAGACATACCGGCGAAAGGGAGTGTGAAATAGAGGGAGGGAGAGAGACGGACGCATAGGGAGCAGAGGAATCTAGAGAACCGTTCCACCGTGATCGCACTATTTTTGACTGAAAACTTTCCTGAAGAGCAACAATAACTTTACCAGTGCTTACTGTTGTGATGTCAGTGTCTAGATATGGAGAAAGAATGTGCTGCGGATGGCTTGCCCTCTCTAAAACCAACTAACTTTATTCAAGTTTATTATGGATCCAAGCCTTTACTGTCCCGGTGAGAAAAACATCGAAATTCAAACCAAATTATTTTTTGTTTTACAAAATTTTAAATAAATAAATAAACCTTATTTCCATTATAATTTAAAAGCCTAAGAAAAAAACAGTTGTTTTTAAGTATATGAGAAAACTTTTCAATTAAGTTTTATTAATTAAATAAAATATGCAATTATGCAAAATACGAAAAAAATATAATTGCAAAAATTCAAAATTGAAAAACACTGTTTTTTTTGTTTATATTTAAAATATGAATCTTTGCACTTTTCACCTTCTCGCATTCACCTGTATTTTCCTATTTTATAAAAAAAAATATTATTAGTATTTTGAATTTTTTCTATTCTTGTATATATATATATATATAAATATTTTATATTCATTGAGTAATTTCTGATGTTGTTTTTCGACCCAGTTTATCGTATTTTATTTTGGCGGTTTTTTTTTTTGTTTGAATGAAGAAAGTTGTATAAATATTTGTATTATGTGTGGGTTGTTAGATTTTTAAGTTTTTGCGAGGGTATTTCGTGTGTGCGGATGGAGAGACGCGGCGTCGCGACGCCCCCACCGCCACCCACACTGCACTCACACTCGTACCGTAACCGGCCGCCCCCTTGTCCCGCCGAGGAGCAGCGCCCCTCCCCCTCAAGAACCCATCCATTCATATTTTAATGTTTGATTGATTTGAATATATAGGACAAATCACACAAGAGTATAACCACGCCCTTGGGCGATCGATATTGTGGCATGTAGGTTACTATATGTCCTTTGAAGATACTGACTCTACTGACTATTCAGCCGTGCTCTATGCCACCCCCTTCTTTTGACAACAAAGGCATTGCCTATTTAAATCCACAAAGCACTTTAACCTTTATATCTTGCAAGGGAAGCGCACACACTCTCACACACACGCGGAGAATTCATGCCCCCCTCCTTTTCTACTAAAATGTAGTTTCACCCCCCCGAAAAATAAACAGACGGTGGTTATCACCTTCGAAGTCCTGGAAGTAGCTCCTAATTGGCGATCTTCCTTTGCTAAAAAACACGCTCTAATTGATATTTATTCAGGGACCGCACCCCCGGACACCACCTCGTGCATAAAGACTAATTACCTAGTATGTACGGCTCGTAATTATTCCTGTCTGAATCGGCAATTATTACATCGATCCGAACCACAACACAACCCCCTACGCACACCCCTTTGCATCAACAACAACCTCCGCCGCCGCCACCCCCGAAAATAAAAATGCTTAATGGCCAGATGTTGCGGAACATCGCTAATCATTTGATTGGCAACAATTTTGATGTCCATCGCCGGAAAGAAAACATAGCAAATTTCCCCCCTATTGATCCCATTTACAATTAAAAACAACACACTCATCGATTGCTCCTATCAAGTTTCTTCAGTCATCGACTTGTTTTTCTTCCAGAATTTCACCTTCGATAGTTTCATAATCTTGTTTACATTCCACTCGTATTCGTCCATCTCCACCCCAATTTTATCCAATTTTCTACAAAAATAATAATATTCTAGTTACCTTACATTTTAAATATAACTAGCATCATTTTTATAAAAAAAAATGATCATTTAAATTTAATTACTCTTAAATACATAATTCGAATACATTTCCGGGCGAATTGTGTAAATAAAATCAAGTTTTATGAATATTTTATTTTATTTTATTTATTCGTAATTTGATATCATAAAGTTTTCAAAGTTGTTAAAAGTTTTTATCAGTGAGTATAATACGCGTTAATTAACAAAGAAAGAGGATACTCCCTGAAACAACAAACTTTAAAGGGTTGTTTTTAAATAATTGAATTTCTGTAGAATATAATTAGGTTACCTTTAAAAAAACAATATCTTATTATTTCTCGATTAAAAGAGATTTCAATTCATACACTTTTCAAAGTTTATTGAAAACTTTGCTTGAGAATACAACGCACCTAATTTAATAAAGAAATATAATAAAACATTGTTGTTGCAGGAATCAATAAATTGAATATCGCAGGGAAAAACATCAGTTACATATGATGAAATAAATTGTTCAAAGTATAGTAAAATGAATACAGTAAAATCTTAAAAAAAAAATCGCACAAAAAAAAATTAAAATTTTTATTAATATAACTTTGTATACATTACATAAACTTTTTTATGCGGTGAATAGGTGGATAGATTTACGAAATAAAGGCTGCACATATGCACACTGATAGAAAACATTACAATGGTGACAATGCGGTTGGAATTGGTACGGTTTCATATACCGCACAAAAACAGATTTTAACTGTATTTAAATACGTTTATAAATTTATTTATTTAATTATGAAAAACAAATCAATTAATTGAATAAATGAATTTTATATAATTGAAATTGGATATTATTTCATTAAACATTATTGTATTATTATTAATTATATTTAGACGAAATGCAATGTTTTCATAATTTAATAAAGAAAATACAAAATTTTTCAATTTTTATTTAAAAATTGCTGAAGTAAATTGTAGAAAATTGTAATAAAAAAAAAATTGAATTACTGAAAATAGATAAGAATTACATAAGTAAATTAAAATCGTTTGATTTTTATTCGAAATATACCGAAAGTAAACGTATAAATATTTAATTTGTTAATTGCAAATCGAAATTACACTGTGTACATCATTAATTATTTCATTAATACCTAAACGAACACACAACATAATTCATTCATATTGCTTCCTGTTTCATTGATTTCCACCCAATTTTGTAACAGAAATTGTATGAAAACTAGAGTTTCTGTGATTCGTTCACTTATACTTTCTAGAGTTGTTAAAAGTTTGTTTTTTTTATTGTGAAAAAAAATGGTATAAAGGCTACGAACTTTCAAGGGTTGTTAACAAAAAAAAACTGCACTTGAAATCCTCATGCAATTTAAACCACAAAATACGAGAAAACAATATGATTTAAACAAAGCACGTATTCGGATCGCATTATTTATTTAAATGGAAATACGGAACAATATCAACCTGCAAATACACCAGATCAGTTAGAAACATACAGAACTCACGTACTTTTAAGCCCCGGGGTAAATTCAATTTATGGCGCACAATGTACACACGAAATAATATAATTTCGGAATATGCATTCACAAATTCCCCGAAATTTAATGATAATCAAATTATTGGTTCAACTATTATTTTTATTTTTTGTGATTTAATTCAATTATAATATTTTAACAACTTGATAATATTCAGATAATATTACAATTATTACGTATGCGTACATTTCATAATTACGCTTATTGAAATATAATGCGTTGTTGATAAAACAACGTAATGTACTACTAATGTAATTGATAGTTAATGTACTCGAAATGTAAACTTTCATTGTTAATGAATACAGATAATTAATGAAATTTTACGAAAAATATTAACGAAATTTAAGATAGAAATAATTTATTATTTTTTTGTAATGGTCCAATTAAGGAAACATTTGTATAAAATAATTAATTTAAAGTATTTAAATAATAATTGTATGAATGAATGGAAGTTGCAACAATTAATAAAATAGTTGGGACAAACTTGATATTAATTGAGTATAAATAGTTACAATGTATTTAATTGAAATTGAATTGGAATGCACGCATATCAGTGTTAGTTAATATACGAAATAATGAATAATGCCGTTAATGAATTGACTGTGAAAACGGAGAATTGATTCGAAGCGAACGTGAATTCGTGTATGCACATATTAATTCGCAAATCGTCCTCGGAAAATGATATAATTATTAATAGTCGTAATTATTTCAATTGCGAAATATACATGTTCTAAATTATTCAATTTTATATCAAATCCAGTATTTTCACCTTAAGTTTTACTTAATATTCACTATAAACATGATATAAAATTATAAAAAGTAAATTCTCACAATGTTAATTAAATTATTCAAATAAATATGAACAAAAATATTGATTAATTAAATTGTCCAAATAATTAGATTTTATAACAAAATCTGGATCTTAATAAATATGTTTTCCAAAAATTATGTTTTACAAACAAATATTGACAATTTTTTTTTATATAAAATTAGTATATTTATTTTCAAGTTTCAGTGCTCAAGAAATACTACACGTATGGCGCCGCGCTGCTTACTTGGGCGTAAAATGGTTTATGCTATTTGCTAAAAGGCTATGACCGAAGTGTTTCTAAATGCACTTGCATAATATTCGCTTGTTTTATTTACATCCTCTGCGGTTTATATCCGACGGCTTTGTTAATCTATAACATTGTGCCATGAAATTGCTTCATAAAATCCCTTTCGCACTTAAAACCGCGAAATATTACCGACTATATAGGGTAATGTCAGTGTCAATTCCATTACTCACGAAGACTGAAATCATGTAGCCTTTAATAAATTACAAATGCATTTCGAATTTGTACTAATAAACACGCAATTACCGACATTAAGTTTTATGGTCCTTTTATATGGATACTCTATATATATTTGTATTAACGTATTTTCTTTGTAATATACAAAGCTATTGTCGCATCCCACCCTAAAAGCACTTATTTTTCAGTAAACTCTGAGCTTTCGAAGGCAAGGTGAAACTTACCAAGGTCATTTATTTCGTAGTTCGCTTGACTGTTCTTTGATGTATTGCCTTATATTTCCTGTCTCTACTAATAAATTATCCAATATTTTTCAATATTATTCAATTACTTATAGCAATTCAGTTTATATTGGAAATTACGTAACACGAAAAAACTTAAGCCAGTATTTTATTATTATTTTCATTTACAATCATAAAATTTAATGAAGAAAAAAATTGAACCGAAATTAACCGTTATTAAAATTTCGTTCCGGTTTAGATTTTTCAATCGAGCAATTTTGCGTTCCGGTTACAGTTAAGGTTCTGTTAAAAATTCCGGTTAATTTCGATTCAACTCTGCTTACAATAGAATATAAAATAAAAAGTGTAGTTTTTAAAGACAAATACTTTCTAGTTTTCAAAATTAATTTTTGTTT